AAAAGAACAAAAGAAGGAGGGGAAAGAAAAAAAAAGGAAGAAGAAGATGAGGGAAAAAAGGTGTGCGGGAGAACATGGAGTGGAAATGGAGGGAATTGTTGGCAAGTTTTAGGAGTAGAAAACATGGCCTGATAGTTTCGGGGTCTCTACGGACTCGCCGCGTCTCCCTCTCCAATACTCAATTTAAAGACATTTGCTTCCCCTCGTCCCCGCCGTCTTTTCTCTTCTTCCCCTTCCCGCCCGCCCCGTTTCCTCCCTGCCATCATTTTTGTTATCTCTGGTACTTTCTCACGACCCTAATCTCCTGCTTTGGGATTGGATTTGATTTCATCTTGCTCAGCATGGCAACCACAAACGACTTTCCCGCCGGCGATGTCAACAGTTATGACTACATCATCGTGGGAGGTGGTACAGCAGGCTGTGTCATTGCTAGTCGTTTGGCCGAGTATTTGCCTAACAAGCGCATCCTGGTGATTGAGGGTGGTCCCAGTGATTTCATGGATGACCGCGTGCTCAACCTGCGTGAATGGTTAAATCTGTTGGGAGGCGAATTGGACTATGACTACGGTACAACTGAACAACCAATGGGTATGTAGAAATCGACCAGCCCCGGTCCAGTAAAGAAAGAGATCTAGGCCCAATACTTATTGAAGATTCATACAGGCAACAGTCATATCCGTCACTCTCGTGCTAAGGTGCTGGGTGGTTGCTCCAGCCACAATACCTTGATCTCTTTCCGTCCTTTCGAATACGATTGCAAGAGATGGGAACAGGCCGGCTGCACAGGCTGGTCCTTCGAGACCTTCACCCGCGTCCTTGACAATTTGCGCAACACCGTCCAGCCTGTTCACAGCCGTCACCGTAATCAACTGTGCAAGGACTGGGTTCAGGCTTGCTCCAGCGCAATGAACATCCCCATCATCTCTGATTTCAACAAGGAAATCCGCTCCAAGGGTGAATTGACTGAGGGCGTTGGCTTCTTCTCCGTCTCTTACAACCCCGACGATGGCCGCCGTAGCAGCGCCAGTGTCGCTTATATCCACCCCATTCTCCGTGGTGAAGAGAAGCGTCCGAATCTGACCATCTTGACGAACGCCTGGGTGTCACGCGTCAACGTCGAGAGTGACACTGTCACTGGTGTTGATGTCACGCTGCAATCTGGCGCTAAGCACACCCTACGGGCTAAGAAGGAGACGATTCTCTGCGCAGGAGCTGTTGATACTGCTCGCTTGATGTTGCTCTCTGGTCTGGGTCCGCGTGAGCAGCTGAGCTCTCTTGGCATCCAGGTTATTAAGGACATCCCTGGTGTCGGCGAGAATCTCCTGGATCACCCTGAGAGTATAATCATCTGGGAGCTCAACCGTCCTGTGCCTCCCAACCAGACTACCATGGACTCTGATGCCGGGATCTTCCTACGTCGCGAGCTTCCCAATGCACATGGTTTTGATGGTCGCGCCGCCGATATCATGATGCACTGCTACCAGATCCCCTTCTGCTTGAACACCACTCGTTTGGGTTATGACACACCGGTAGATGCGTTCTGCATGACCCCTAACATCCCTCGCCCCCGCTCCCGTGGTCGTCTCTTTTTGACCTCTGCTGATCCCAGCGTCAAGCCCGCCCTGGACTTCCGGTACTTCACCGACCCGGAGGGCTACGATGCTGCCACCATTGTCGCTGGCTTCAAGGCGGCCCGCGAGATCGCTCAGCAGTCGCCCTTCAAGGAGTGGATCAAACGCGAAGTGGCTCCTGGTCCCAAGGTCCAGACGGACGAAGAACTCTCAGAGTATGGCCGTCGCGTAGCGCATACTGTGTACCACCCGGCTGGAACCACCAAAATGGGTAACTTGGCCCGTGACCCTATGGCCGTCGTTGACCCTCAGTTGAAGGTGCGGGGCCTCAAAAATGTACGTATCGCGGACGCGGGTGTCTTCCCAGAGATGCCTACCATCAACCCCATGTTGACCGTGCTGGCCATCGGTGAGCGTGCGGCTGAACTGATCGCGGAAGAGGCCGGCTGGAAACGCGAGCAGCCTCGTCTGTGAACACCTCCTATAGGGGACTCCCCACTCGCCTTTATCCTATTCTTGCTACGAAATGGCACAAACATAAATGAAGGATATCGGCGTTAGAGAGAGTGTATCATGCGTGGTCCCAGCGCGTGAACTTCTTTTGCCTCTGGTCTTGAGACTAGCGATAGGCCGGCTATATACGTTGGGCATTGCCAGTTGCCTGATCTATGATTTACGAATGATGAATCACGGAGAGGATGCGTGCAAGGAACTGGGAAGGGTTTTCTTGATCCCATGATCAAAGGACTGCGCCGCCACTTATTGTACCAACACCTGTCTGTATATTAGCATCGGCGAGTTATCGCGCCGAATTTAGAACCAAAGACATAGATTTCAACGAGTGATAAATATGTTGTTGATATCGACGATGAGGGCTACTTTCTGTTGAGGTCATGGACAGTGCTTGGTATGGGTGTGTTGTCATTGAAACAAGGCGCCTCGTCAAGCAACCGGAAAGGCATGAAGTTGACATTCCCACGACATCACCAAGCATCCTTAACAAGATCCCTTGATTGGGGTGTGAAATCATTCTGCAGCTAATCTGTTTTGGCCGGACAGACAGAAAACTGCCAGCTAACTTAACGTTAACTTATATGGCTTAAGTCAGCATCCGTCAACGTTCGAGACTTGTACTGGCGAGTATGTCTAGTACGGCCAGTACTACAATTACGTACTGTCTCCGATACCTGGGTGTATCAAAAACATGTACAGTAACTTCCAGTACATACAATTACTATGACTAATATTCGGCAACCGGAACAAGCTAGGAATAAACTACAAAGCAGCTAGTTACCATTTGAGTACACTAGCTACCCTACAGCTACGTAATTTACAATACTCCGCACTCCGTACTGCGTCCAGACTTAGCCGAAGTAACTAGTTATCGTCACGAAACCTCCAACAAAAACCAACTTAGAGTAAACCTAGTAGTAACTTAGTTAGCCGACTTACTGTCGGAGTAAGATCGAGCACCTTCTAGTTATCGATCGCCTGACGACTAGGGACGGCACATTATTATTGCCCTTACCACATGTTCAGTACAGTATTATACATTCACTCATTCACTCACCTGGCCCCCAAGCACATAATACGGGGATCACCTTTCTAGACACGACAACACACCTGAGTTGCCCCAGGAGCCAGTGAAACTGGCCTGAAGCTCCGCAGATGATAAGGTAGAATGCAACGGTGGCAGCCGTGGACCCGACTGGGCCCCCCGCATTCGGCTAAGCTTCAGCTGCCCAATGTCACCGTCGCAAATTCAACGATGGGTGGGTTGTTTATCTTCATTCATTCAGACATTGGCTTATCAAGTAATCAGTCACAGGATCCGGATCATGATCAGTTTACCAGAATTTGAGTCCGGTGGTTAGCCAGTAACTAACTTAGGTACCTTTCCTCGACAAAGCCACTCGCAGACCTAACTGAGTACCTCTGCACTGTCATGCATGCGGAGATAAACCCGCTCGCCCCGGACCAACCATCAAGTCAAGTTGGTGGTCCTGGAGCTCGTTACCGTCCGTAGGTCTGCTTGGAATCATCGTTGAATCATTGACAATCTTTGATGTACTTGGGTATTCACTGTTCTTAGCCCGGCAAGTAAGGTAAGCAGGTAGGTAACTTTATTATTTAAATCCTGCCGCGTATCACTATCTAGTGTTTGTATTTGCTTGTATGTACTCTTTTTTCTTTTCCTCCAAGGCTCCAACTCTTCTTCCCCAGGCCTTCTCTCCCCCACCTCCTAGTTACATATAGTAATTACCACTTTTCACCTCGTCTATCTACCTGCCTGTCTGCAGTCGGGTGGATCATCCCATGTGGACGGCGATCGACTCGCAACCCTGCCGCTTCTGATTCGTGGCTGAAGAGACAACTAAACAGGTACCGATGATAAGGTACTACTGAGTACTACTAGTCTACTAGTCTAGCTAGTAGGTACAGTACCCGTGGAGTAGTTACTCATTATCTCCCAGGCTGTCTCGTTATCCTCCATTCATTTGCTCAAAGGTTATCTTGTTGTCGCATCTCAGTCTTTCTTGGTAATTTTTTTTTCCCTCTCCGCTTATCCTAGGGTGGTATCCACCACCTTCATTTACCAAACTCAATCAACATCAGCATCAACATCAACATCAACCACAACTACAATCACAACAATAATCAGCTCACAATTCCCTAACCTCTCGCCTCTCGCCTCTTGCTTCACGCCCCCTCCTCTTCTTCTTTCTTCTCCTCCTCCTCCTCTTCATCTTCCTCAACCTAACAAGATATTTATTTCCTGATTCCCTTCCCACACTTTCTCCACTTCGCCTCTCTGTTACTATCCTTACTGGCAATTCGATAACAGTACGTTCCATCACACCACAATCCGAATCCTTTCTCCCTTCCGAGACTATTTGTTTTCGTGTCCGCCCCCTACATTCTTACCCCGGATCGTCCCCAAAACAATCTCATCCCTTGTCACGCCTTGGTTTGAAAAATATTTCCGTCGCTAGCCTTGTGTGTGTGCGTGTGTCCCCGGAAACCTACATATTTCTATGTTACTGAATTCCCGCCTACCTCTCTCTTTCTTGACTTCAGTGGTCTGGTATCTTTACTTCGTTCGTCGGGTAGTTCTCTCATCCTCCTCCTCCTCTTGTGTCTTCCCGTCCAGTTTTTGACTTCGCCATCCCATCCCCGTTATCTCCTGCGGATTGTATTTTCTTGCTCCGGCACATAACTCAGTCCCGCAATTATCCTTAAGATCTAGACACATACATCACTTGCCGCTATTCCACTTGACTTTGCCAATTCTGGTTCTACTGTACTGTGCAAGATTGGTCGGCTGATTGTGTCTTTGCTCTTACTTAGCGAGTGGCAGAAAAGTCCCCAGTCACTCCTCAAATCGTCTCAAAGGCATCTTGCTGTTCGACCTCGGGGATTTGACAAAAAATGGCTACCTCAACAACTGGCCCGGAGAGCCAGCAGCCCGAAAAGGAGGTGCAGGCTGTCACAATTGACCCTGAGGCCGGCCAAGTCCACCCGCTTACTGGCAAGTCCTGGATGTATAAATCTTTTAAGATTGGTCCATGGACTCTGCCGTACTTTGCCTCGCCTGATGCACAGCTTCTCCTGGTCTCCTTTGTCTGCTTCCTCTGCCCGGGAATGTTCAATGCCGTTAGTGGCCTCGGAGGTGGAGGTCAGCTAGGTTTCAAGGACGTGAACAACGCCAACACCGCCCTTTACAGTACCTTTGGGGTTGTTGGGTTTTTCGCGGGCTCTGTTGCGAACCGCATTGGTCTGCGTTTGACGCTCTCAATTGGTGGTTTTGGTTATTTTCTCTATGTCGCATCGCTACTGTCCTACAACCACAACCAAAACTCTGGCTTTCTGATCTTTGCTGGTGCACTTTTAGGCGCCTGCGCTGGCCTACTGTGGTGCGCCCAGGGTGCCGTCATGATGAGTTATCCGAACGAAAAGGAGAAGGGCAAATTCATCGCCATTTTCTGGGTGATCTTCAATCTTGGCGGCGTCATCGGCAGCTTGGTATGTATCCTTGACCTTGACCTCCCATCCGAAGCTGACGCTTTTGCATTGTAGGTGCCTTTGGGTCAAAACCTGCACTCAGTGGCTGGTCAAGTAAACGATGGGACTTACATTGCATTCATGGTACTCATGGCCTTGGGTTTCGTCCTGGCTTGGGGCCTCGCGGATTCAAAGTATGTCAAGCGCAAAGATGGCTCGCACGTTATCGTCATGAAGAACCCTACCTGGAAATCCGAGTTTATGGGTCTCTATGATACTCTCCGCACCGACTACTATATTCTCCTCCTCTTCCCGATGTTTTTGACAAGTAACTGGTTTACGGCGTACCAGTTCAACAGTGTCAATGGTGCATACTTCACCATCCGTACACGAGCCCTCAACAATCTGCTGTACTGGCTGATGCAAATGCTCGGAGCGTTCGTCTTCGGGCAATTACTGGACTTGAAGTTTCTCTCTCGGCCCACCCGAGCCAGGCTGAATCTTTTCCTTTTGCTGGTTCTCACAATGGGTGTCTGGGGTGGAGGTTATGCATTTCAGAAGACCTACACTCGCGAAACAGTCAAGGCGGATACCGACTGGACCAGTCACGGCTTCGTGGGTCCAATGTTTTTGTACATGTTCTACGGGTTCTATGATGCGGCTTTCCAAACTTGCGCATACTGGTCAGTTTGGCCCCTTGCTCCAAAAACCCCCGTCCTTCGTCACTTAATTTTGGGACGTCAATTGAATTTGGGATGGTAAGAACTGGACTAACTAGGTGAATTGTAGGTTCATGGGTTCTCTGACAAACAACGGCCGCAAGCTGGCCAACTTTGCTGGATTTTACAAGGGCATCCAGTCCGCTGGTGCAGCAGGCATGTGGCGGTAAGTCTCCATCATGCATTCCCCTACTCATAATCAGTCACTAACTGGCTTGATCCACAGGTTGGATGCGGAGAATACTCCCTTCATGACGGAATTCGCTACCTGCTGGGGCCTCCTTGCTGGCAGTATTGTGATTGCCTCCCCTGTAGTATTCCTCAAGATCAAGGAGCACGCGGACATGGAGGCTGATCTACGCTTCTCGGACGAGACCGCTCAAGAAGTGGGAGTATCTGTGCCTTTAGAGGAGCAACAGTCCATTGATAAGAAGGATGAGAAGCGCGTCTCTCTCAGTTAACTCTTCTCCTTGACTTGAACTGCGTGTCCCATGAAAGGACGGCAATCTGGTTACATGACGCGATGCTGCGATGATGAACTGGTCTGGCTCAAGTTATTGGTGCTTCCGACCCCTTGACGCTTTCTTGTTTCCATCTTTTAATCTCTTTAATCTTCATATCTCGTAATTATTTTGCTGATACCAGGGGTAGGAGCCCCTAATGACATATTTCTTCCACCATTACCCTAGCCATTCAATTTTCGCTTGCTCAATCAACTACCTCATTTGATCAACTATACTTTTAGTGTCCTGCGTAAGGAAGTGGACCGCATGGACCCCTGTTTTTTTTTTTTTTTTTTTTTTTTACCACCTAGCCCTGCCATCAGGGAAAGCATCGTGGGTGTTTCAAATTGCCCAAGAGTTAGCTACCTTTTACCCGCGATACCAGCAAAACTTGCCTTGGGCCGGAAAACAAACCAAGATCGGTAGACATCGGTCCATCTATGACTTTGACCACACACTAACATTTAGCTGACTCGGAGACTCTGTGCCGATTCTCATTGTCTGTACTATACTGTACACCCGCAGCCGTCCGTGGAGATATATATCATGTGCATGCGTACCAGTCCCTTTTCCAGGCCATACGTCTGCTTGTATGATCTCTGAAGGGACTGGACAGTACCCACAGTGACAGCCGGTGCCTGCATCAGGTGGTGTCTTGCGCACACATATAGACATCCATCTCTCTGTATGTATGTATACTGTTATTGAATCTACATTCGACCTAAAGGAATTTGCTGTGTAGGTACCTTGGGTCGTAGTATGCGGTCAATACACATCCCGAACATTCCAGCCTCAGTAAATAGAGGTTGACTCGCATATTACTTAGCAATGTTGCTCAAAGCAGGGATTGTGGCAGGCAGCATGCAGCAGTCTGTCGAGCTGCATTAGTTCATTCACTGATGGGGATGATGTTTGGGTGCAAGTGCAAAAGTCACAGCACCTCCAGGTCGCGTGTGTGACAGGGCCAAACGTCTTGACTTGACTGATAGAAAAGGAGCTGAAGGGATTGCTGGTGTGCCATGATGAATAGAGCAATGGTCTAGATGCACAGACAACACCAGAAATGGTACATTGACTGCTAGACTAGGAATCCGCAAAGGCCCATGGTGGATCCACAGGTCTACAATACGTAGCTCGCTCCATCGGGCGGGGCAGAGCGGTCAACCCTGACTACGTACAAATTAACTTAGTCTACTAAACTCCTCATCTGCCGGGGCGGGTCTGGAGTTGGGAACGCTCTCAAACCAATATTATAGTTCATATGCACCTGCCAGTATCATGTACACGTTTATATTCATCAGATGTCCTGCGGCTGATTGTGCAGGTTATTTACATATTATGACGGCAGGCACAAATGCCAACTCCGTCTCAAGAACAAACATGGAAAGAGTCATTAACCGGATCCCGCAAGAGGGGTTCACCAAGCCCTAAAAAGGTGAAAAGCCCTACAAACCCTGCCTGTATTCTAGGCCGCAAAAAAAAGGGTGTTCAATGCATGTGCGCTATGGAGCACAACAGGCCACCATCCCAATCAGTAAATACACGCACTTTAGGGGGAGGGGGTGGGGAAGAGAAACACGGGTAAAATTGCACTCGAGAAGCGGTGAATAGCATCACAGGCCATGCTTAAAGATTCAATCCGAATTCGGCATCGAGGTCGGATGAGATTGTATTCATCCCAGCATGCCCCACACCAGAGGCGCGTTCGTCAGAGATTTGCTCATCTTCTAGACCCGGAAGGTTAGGACCCTTCCCCGTCAAATTGAATGGAGCCATGTCTGGTAAGTTGTCCAAGGCACTTAGCCCCAAACTAAAGCCTTTACCGCTAGTGAGTCCGGTGGTATTGATGCTATCGTCGACACCTAGAAAATCGGCTCCGGTGTCGTCAAAATTGATGAGAGCATCGAAATCATTTTGGGTGACCTCGGCATCATTCGCCAAGTCCATCAGTTGGCTCAAACTTAATTCGGAATCCAGATTGGGGATGCTGAATGCGTCCTGATGATGATAACTTGGGTTTATGTTGCTTGTGCTGCCATTCTCGCTGCCGTCGGAAGGCGGCGGGGTAGAGGCAAAGGCTGGCCCGCTTTCTGCAGCCAGTTGTTCGACAAGCCCGGTTGTGTCGGACTTCGGATATGTAAGGTCGGGAATCTTCTGTGCCAAAGAATCTGGGGGTGGAGTCAAGGCATTAACCCGAGTAGTCGCGCCAAGCGTACTGCCGGACCGTGAGTGCACATCCTGTGGCGCCACTGTAAGCTGGATCCCGGCCTTTCGGATCGCAGCCTCCAAAAACGATGTCGCGAAATCGGCAGACGCATAGATCTCTCTAAGACGCTGCAGGATCCGCATGCATTGATAGAATCGTTGAAGGCTGGTCATTCGGATTGTGGGATCGCTAGACTTGATATCGAGAAGATGAATTATGACCGCGGGAAGTAGAACCGTGACGCCGGTGGTAGGGAAATATCGCGTCAAATCAAGACTATGTAGATCCTGGGCGATGTTCGTGATCTCGATGGCAGCATATCTGACCTTGTTCCTTGATATTTCCTGCAATTCAGCATCCGTGGATGGAAACGGGATCGCAGGGAGAACCTGCGGGCGGTGCAGGGCGCTGGATGTGGTCAAATAGACCATTTTCAGTAACGCGCGATGGGAATGAAGCACCTCTTGGGCCTCGCCAAGTTTGGCAGGTGCGGCAGGGGCATACTGAATTTCGGTGGGAAGGTGGGCCAGCCAGTCTTCCAATTCCTGGTCACATCGGCGAACCTCAAACGTTTCTGCTGCCGACTTTTTGGGTACCAGCATCATCGTAGTCTCCATTGTCCCGCCAAACTTATGGCTCAAGACCGAATACTGCGCAGATAATACATGACTGACACACAAGCAGAGCTTTGCCTTTTCAATAAACATGAGGGCTAGCTCCCGCTGGTGTTTCGGGTTCTGTAAGATTTCCGAGTTGCCCACCATGCTCACGATTTCAGGGGAGAACGGCTGGAACTCAAAATCATCAAGGGTTAACATGGGAACGTCACAATCGTCGTCTTTTACACGCATGGGCCGTCTCATCCCTAGTGCGATAAGGCGATCGCGTGTATATGTACTCCACCAGATCCGTTTCCACATCCGTTGACGCCGAACATCCATGCGGGAGTTACCCGGATCCCGGTGTAGGCCAATCGTGTGTGCGAGAGACAGGCTTACACCCATCCAGTGCCAGGTATCCTTCTGATCATCCGGTGTCTCATACCAATATGTCATCAGGAGCAGTGATTGAACCAGTGAGATCCGGTCAACTTCGTAGTCAAAATCGTAAAGAAGCCTTGCTCGCTGAAAAAAAGCCTTGCGCGCCGCTTTTCGGGAAGGATAGCCTGCTGCATGAAGGTGCTTCAGGCTGATGAACGCTGTACCCGCAAACATCACGGCCTGGAAGAGCAATAGACTCATTCGACGGATGCCGTCATTCTGAACAATGGTCTGCAGGAAATCTTCCAGGTCAAGGAGGGGCATGTAAGTATGCACGTAATGTATATAACTTTTGAGCAGCTCGTTGCGCAAACCCACGTCGGGAACGGTCAACGCTCCCTTCTGGTACAGGTACTCAATGTCTTCCTTTTGAAGACGAGGTGGTAGACCACGAATGTAATCAGGTAAAGCGACTCCGCCCGTTCTTGCACTCGCAAAAGAGGGGTCTAGCATTTGCTGAATCTGTGACGTGACATGGTGCAATGGTAGAGTTGCCGGAACAGCCGGATTGGGGGCCACTCTTCGTCGAAAGCGATCTCCCGAGCCAGCCCGATTGACTTGACTCTGATCTAAAACACGATTATGAATTAGACAATGCTGGGCGCAAGTTGTTATCCAAGTGGAAGCAACTGAAGGATCAATACGCACACAAAAGATGAGGGATGTGCTGTCCTTGGTCTAGATCCAGTGAACGTTGGGACGGAGACGCAGGAGCGACATCGGATAGCCCCTGGGATTCGCTCAGTCTGCGGAAGAGGTTGGAAGCATCTTCAGCGCCCTCAGAAGGAGAGTGCGAGTGCAACTGTGAGCTGCTATTGTCACCTTCCACACGTGATTTCCTGTATAGTGGCAACACGGCGCGTTCGAGGTTAGCCGGAGATTCTGTGGAGTGGAAATCAAACGGGAGACAGATTCGACATGGACGAACTTTCTCCTCTTGCTCTCAGTGACAATGCACTCTACTTGATCCAGGCGACAATTGGTGCATGGTGATCCATTCTCGACCACATCACAGCGCACCTTACGAGCCCGACAACAGCAGCAGGCCTTGGACGCCCGCCGTTTCACGGGACGGGAGTTGGCCGGCAGACCGGCTGTAGAGGCCTTGCGCTTGCTTTTGGGATCAGTCTCCATGGGGGTGTTGGATGCCGATGACGGTGATGCGGCGGAATTGGTCATTGTTATGAAGAAGCACGGACTAGGATGGGTTCAGTCCATACGATGGTAGATAAAAGGTTGTGGGTGGACAAAATAATTAATATGTTGAAGAATGAAGATACTCAAAGGAGAGCAGAGCCAAGAAGAAGTGTGAAAGGGGTAGTAACAGAGAAGTTATAGAATTGGTGATCAGAACGAGACAGTGACGGAAGAGTGGAGATGTAAATCTTTCTGTGGATTGCGCGCTTTTGGTTTTCGTTCCCCTCTAGAACCGTGATATATGCAAGCAGGTATTCCCAAAGGTGATGAACAAAAAAAAAAGAGGTTACGTGAGTCGAGATGTCTTTTGCTTTTGCTTGTGTTCTTCTTTTTCTTTCTTTCTTTCTTTCTTTCTTTTTTAATTTCTCTCTCTCTCTCTCTCTCTCTTTTGTAATCGGTTCTTCCTTTCCCTGGGGGGATTAGATTCCGGGAAAATAGAGGCAGGAGATCACCGGACCAGGCTTCAAACTTCTCGTCCAAGGGGACGGTAAGTCGACACACGGCGCGGGGGTCGG